AAGAGTCTGGACAATTTTTATCTTTATTCGGTTTTAATATGGGAACTAAGCAGTCAGTCTTCCATTGACCTGGAATCAGATTTTCCTTCCACAAACTATTAATGATAAATAGAAATTTTAATAGGTTTTGTTTATTTAATTTTTTTAACATTTTGTAAGAGATAAAATCCAAGCCGCAAGCGGTGTCCTTTCGTGATTTGATCGCTGATATAAGCTCAGTAAATGTAAACATGCTTAACAGATAAGAATTTGCATTACTTGCTGTATGATTAGTGAAATCTAATGGTGGCGATTCTGCATGGTCTGGAGTGTATTTCGTAAGAAAATCATGAACCCAAAGCGGACAAGAATCGTTCTGCGAAAACTTGCAATTATTACTTTTATTAAATTTACGTAAAGTATTCCAAATATGAGATATGGGAGTAACTCTATTTAAATTAGAACAAAATTCTTTCCAACTCTCAATTTTTTCTGTATTAATAACACGCTTTTTCAGGGCTTGTAATTTTTTAAAATGTACATAATTTTCAGGAGTAGGGTCATTTTTGAATTGCACGTAAGCTTCTTTCGAGTTTTGTACAGCACATACGGGACTATTCCCACCTCTCGTTCCCACCGCTGCAACTCCTGTGTAGCCAGGATCTACAGCTTGACCGCCAACAAAAACCCAACCAGTGAAGGTCAAGTCAGCGTCAAATAGTTCGTGACATCCAAAGTGGCCAAAAAGTTGACAATATAACCTTATTCCAATGAGGGCTATCGTTTGAGCGCTCACCAGTTAGCGCCACTGTAGAGTAAGGTCCTGTCACTTGCTAGTACCGAAGACAGTGGCGCCGACTGGTGAGCGCTAAAGTGGTACGAGGACTATCGCATTTGCACTCATCAAGATGGCGTCACTGTAGAGTAAGGTCCTGTCAATCGCCAGGGGTGCCCACTGTTAAGTATAAAAACGATAGCCCTCATTGTAACAAAAGACGTGTTGCAGCCTTTTTAGCTACTTTAGGTGTCACGAACTATTTGACGCTGACTATAGCTGGAGCTGGCACTGACCTTGGGCATGATGGCTTCGGTCCTGACGTCCATATACGCCGGGGTTTCCTGCTCGTCTGCCGCCTGTTGTAACGCCTGAGCCACGTGCGGCAGGAAGGCTCCGAGCCACACTACACTAGTCACATCCACTGGACTGAGCTGGACGCATAGCTTTGGAGCTGACACTGACCTTGGCCATACGGGACTATTCCCACCTCTCGTTCCCACCGCTGCAACTCCTGTGTAGCCAGGATCTACAGCTTGACCGTCAATAAAAACCCAACCAGTGAAGGTCAAGTCAGCGTCAAATAGTTCGTGACATCCAAAGTGGCCAAAAAGTTGACAATACAACCTTATTCCAATTGTAACAAAAGACGTGTTGCAGCCTTTTTAGCTACTTTAGGTGTCACGCTCAATCAACTATTTGACGTTGACTATAGTTCTGAAACATAGCCCTCTCCATAGCACGCTGTGCAACTTTGAGCTTCTGTATAAGGCCCATAGTGAGAGGCCACGTTTCCGAGCCATAAGTTAACACTGGTAACACACATTGGTTGTACACTCTAGTCTTCAGGCATTGAGGTATTTTGGACGAAAAAATGTTGCGTAGTTTCCCGAACAGAAATGAGGAGATCCGTAAACGAACCAAAGTCGCTGACATAGCCCGACGGATTAGCAAGCTGAAGTGGCAATGGGCAGGGCACANGTGATCTAAACTTTAAATTAAGTCATAATTTAACTTAATATTACAACTTATGCGTGTTGTCCATTGACTCTGCACGTCACACGATCGATGACATGCGTCATAACTGCTAAAACATTGGTTAAAATTAATAGTTTTGATTTGATTTGCGATAAGTAGCTCGCTTTGCCAGTTAGTGCATAATGTTTAGTGTGTCAGATTTTACGGTAATTTTCTTAGTTTATACGATTTACGCATAAAAAACCACTCACTATCAGCATGAAGTATGAACTGCTCGTGTATAGGGTCGACGTCATCAGCCGAGCAAGGAAATTGGCCGCGCGCAGGCGCCGACCGCTGCAGCGCTGCCAAGATGGCGGCCAGGTCGGCGCGGGTGCCCGCCGTGTCTGCAAACACATACGACACTTAATACCATCAGATAATAGGGGTACTTGACACCATCCTACTAATATTATAAATGCGAAAGTTAAGATGTTTGTTACTCTTTCCCGCAAAAATTACTGAACGGATTTTGTTGAAACTTTATTATTGTTTGTAACCCAGATTAACATATATGACGCTATAAAATTTATGCCGATCTGTGACACTGACTTTACGCGGGTGAAGCCGCGGTCAAAAGCTAGTTAAGAAATAATTCGAAAATATACTTATTAGGGGGCGTAGTGTGAGTTTACGTCAAACGCATTCGATGTCGACTGCGTAAAAAAGTGATATTAAATGTATGACGGATTGTACAACGCCCCTAGCGGAAACTTTCAAGAACCAAAATTTTCAAATATTTTTTAAAGCGCTCGCTAGTGACGTCGTTTGATGTCAACTCACACTAAGCCCTCAAATCGTTAGAGACACTAACAATTCAATTTGTATCTAGCCCAAAAAATTTAGTTAGTTTCTGCGTTCAGTAAATTGCGTTCGCGAAAACGAAATGGTCATAGTTATCTATGTCACACATATCAGGCCGTGCCCATTCCACACTCCCCTGTTAAAGCCCGGTCTGTGAGCACGTAGAATTTTGTCTTGCGTAACGTAGAGTTTTGCGCGTAATTATATTGCTGTCGCGACTGTGCGACGGGCACCCTGATTGTGGGCAACATTATTACGCGCGAGCGATAAGGATGGGTAGCTTGGGGTCATTAGACAAAATTGTATGTGCTTGCAGACCAGACTATAGGGGCCCCCCTTGAAAAATAACCCTAGATACGCCAATAGTATTCGCGTACTTACTAGCTCTCGGCGATTCGCGAACGTTCGTGAGCGTTGCGCGTGCGGTGCATACGTGTAGTTCCTTGGGCCGGTCGCGCTGCTGCGAGATATGCTCGGGGCCGGCTTCTAGCACTATCTATAAAAAAACAAATTTTATGTTAGTTTCTAATTACGAATTCTGGAATTACTGAGTCAGTCAGTGCCTGAGGAATGGGAGCGGCACGGGAGGGGTAACATTAAACATTATGACGTGACAAAGCATACGAATCTGATGGAGATCTGAAGTCTCGCTGACACCGTCTCAAAAACACCCTCCCATGACTCCCATACCTCAGGCACTGAGTGAGCTAGGCGCTAGATGTATAATATAAGAGCATATCTATTATTTTCGACTTTCTGTCTGTTTGCTCTGGCTAATTTCAGATACAGCTGAACCGATGACGAAAGAACTTTCACTGGCATATAGCTGTCTTTATTGTATGNGCGTACCGGAAAACGCAGCGTGGGACGTCCACCTACAAGGTGGACCGACGACATAGTAAAGGTAGCAGGGAAGCGCTGGACGCAGGCCGCTACCAATCGATCAACATGGAAAGCATTGGGGGAGGCCTATGTTCAGCAGTGGACGTCCTATGGCTGAAATGATGATGATGATGATGATGACTGACCTTGGGCATGATGGCTTCGGTCCTGACGTCCATATACGCAGGGGTTTCCTGCTCGTCTGCCGCCTGTTGTAACGCCTGAGCCACATGCGGCAGGAAGGCTCCGAGCCACACTACACTTGTACTTAGCTGGACGTATAGCTTTGGAGCTAGCACTGACCTTGGACATACGGGACTATTCCCACCTCTCGTTCCCACCGCTGCAACTCCTGTGTAGCCAGGATCTACAGCTTGACCGCCAACAAAAACCCAACCAGTGAAGGTCAAGTCAGCGTCAAATAGTTCGTGACATCCAAAGTGGCCAAAAAGTTGACAATATAACCTTATTCCAATGAGGGCTATCGTTTGAGCGCTCACCAGTTAGCGCCACTGTAGAGTAAGGTCCTGTCACTTGCTAGTACCGAAGACAGTGGCGCCGACTGGTGAGCGCTAAAGTGGTACGAGGACTATCGCATTTGCACTCATCAAGATGGCGTCACTGTAGAGTAAGGTCCTGTCAATCGCCAGGGGTGCCCACTGTTAAGTATAAAAACGATAGCCCTCATTGTAACAAAAGACGTGTTGCAGCCTTTTTAGCTACTTTAGGTGTCACGAACTATTTGACGCTGACTATAGCTGGAGCTGGCACTGACCTTGGGCATGATGGCTTCGGTCCTGACGTCCATATACGCCGGGGTTTCCTGCTCGTCTGCCGCCTGTTGTAACGCCTGAGCCACGTGCGGCAGGAAGGCTCCGAGCCACACTACACTAGTCACATCCACTGGACTGAGCTGGACGCATAGCTTTGGAGCTGACACTGACCTTGGCCATACGGGACTATTCCCACCTCTCGTTCCCACCGCTGCAACTCCTGTGTAGCCAGGATCTACAGCTTGACCGTCAATAAAAACCCAACCAGTGAAGGTCAAGTCAGCGTCAAATAGTTCGTGACATCCAAAGTGGCCAAAAAGTTGACAATACAACCTTATTCCAATTGTAACAAAAGACGTGTTGCAGCCTTTTTAGCTACTTTAGGTGTCACGCTCAATCAACTATTTGACGTTGACTATAGTTCTGAAACATAGCCCTCTCCATAGCACGCTGTGCAACTTTGAGCTTCTGTATAAGGCCCATAGTGAGAGGCCACGTTTCCGAGCCATAAGTTAACACTGGTAACACACATTGGTTGTACACTCTAGTCTTCAGGCATTGAGGTATTTTGGACGAAAAAATGTTGCGTAGTTTCCCGAACAGAAATGAGGAGATCCGTAAACGAACCAAAGTCGCTGACATAGCCCGACGGATTAGCAAGCTGAAGTGGCAATGGGCAGGGCACATAGTACGCAGAACTGACGGCCGATGGGGCAGATAGGTTCTGGAATGGAGGCCGCGTACCGGAAAACGCAGCGTGGGACGTCCACCTACAAGGTGGACCGACGACATCGTAAAGGTAGCAGGGAAGCGCTGGACGCAGGCCGCTACCAATCGATCAACATGGAAAGCATTGGGGGAGGCCTATGTTCAGCAGTGGACGTCCTATGGCTGAAATGATGATGATGATGATGATGACTGACCTTGGGCATGATGGCTTCGGTCCTGACGTCCATATACGCAGGGGTTTCCTGCTCGTCTGCCGCCTGTTGTAACGCCTGAGCCACATGCGGCAGGAAGGCTCCGAGCCACACTACACTTGTACTTAGCTGGACGTATAGCTTTGGAGCTAGCACTGACCTTGGACATACGGGACTATTCCCACCTCTCGTTCCCACCGCTGCAACTCCTGTGTAGCCAGGATCTACAGCTTGACCGCCAACAAAAACCCAACCAGTGAAGGTCAAGTCAGCGTCAAATAGTTCGTGACATCCAAAGTGGCCAAAAAGTTGACAATATAACCTTATTCCAATGAGGGCTATCGTTTGAGCGCTCACCAGTTAGCGCCACTGTAGAGTAAGGTCCTGTCACTTGCTAGTAGCGAAGACAGTGGCGCCAACTTGTGAGCGCTAAAGTGGTAGGAGGACTATCGTATTTGCACTCATCAAGATGGCGCCACTGTAGAGTAAGGTCCTGTCAATCGCCAGGGGTGCCAACTGTTAAGTATAAAAACGATAGCCCTCATTGTAACAAAAGACGTGTTGCAGCCTTTTTAGCTACTTTAGGTGTCACGAACTATTTGACGCTGACTATAGTTCTGGAGCTGGCACTGACCTTGGGCATGATGGCTTCGGTCCTGACGTCCATATACGCCGGGGTTTCCTGCTCGTCTGCCGCCTGTTGTAATGCCTGAGCCACGTGCGGCAGGAAGGCTCCGAGCCAGACCACGCTGGCTACGTCCACGGATATGCGGACTGGACTTAGCTGGACGTATAGCTTTGGAGCTGGCACTAGAAAAGTCAAAAGAAACATTTGTTACAGTAAAAGTAGTACTAGTATACTTGTACGTTAAGAAAATATGCCCATAAAAGTTAAACCTAATTATGTAGTACTAAGCTAAGCCAACTTGAAACTTTAGGGACTAGATGGTGCGACTATAATAGCCGGAACATTACAGAAATATTGTATAGTTTGGTTGGTAATCCTTGAAATGTTTCCGGTCTTTGGCTTGCCACAAATGCAGACAAATATTGCCCGTCTGGAGTAGCTAAGTGTCAACGACCAAACATCTATGGAAATTTAAAACCGGGCTATTATTCCCCAAAAGCAATATTCTTTTGATAGGGAAGCGCAACAAAGTTTATTTCCCCTAATTCGTAGCACGTGAGGTGATTCGCCTGGTATAGTTTGCTATGAAAAACTTCCAGTTCTCTTTGATGTGTAGTCCTTAAATCGCTTCTTACTACACCCGCGGAAAGGGTAGGGGTTGGTTAGAAAATGTATTTGACTCTACCGTCACCACATGTCGCTCTGATAAACATTAATCTTTTAAACTGCGATCTACAACCCGCCTACCAAGCGTGGAGATTATGGTAATACCCTTCACTTAAGTGGAGGAGGCTCATAGTCCAGCAGAGGACTGTAAGGCCCAGAACAGACGGTGAAACGCAACTGCAACGAAACTGCAACTGCTAGTTACTTTTGAGTTGCATCTAAGTTTCTGCCATAGCGTCCGTTGAGAGACCACACATCGATGGCTCCTACGTATACTGGCGTAAGTGAAAAAAGTAAATTTTACAGGAGAGCCATTTTAGTGGCCAGAACCATATTTTTGGGTCATATCTTCTGACCTACTAAAACGAATTTAATGAAATTTCACATTTAGCCTTAACATGTAATGCTTTTGCTACTGCTGTTATCAATTTTTATAATTTTCTTATATATTTTGAGATTTTACGCATTGCCCTTTTACGTCGGCATATTACTATAATTTCATGTATATTGTTCAACGTAAAGAGACTTAAATGACAACGTAAATATAATATTTTAAGCGATTACTCTCTTTATTTATGCATGTAATTATTTTAATTGTTATCATGTGCTATATCAATAATAAATCAGTTAGAAAAAGTCGTTTAATGTACCGTTTTACGTTTTAACGCAAATACGCCCATATACTGTGCTCGAGATTTAGTTAGGTCTTTTAACATAATGTGTCATATTTTTAAAAAATATAAATAACTTGAAAAAATCGAATTGCCTAAGGCGGGAATTGAACCCACGATGCCTTAGGCAGTTCGATTTTTTCAAGTTATTTATAATTTTCAAATTAGTTTGAGATGCGACTCTTAACGCTAAAAATTAAATAACTATATAATGTGTCATAATTTATAAATAAAACAATTTGCTAAATATTTTCATGGCTTTATTTAAGATTTGGATTATAAAAAATATATGTTTATGTAAGCAACTACTCGTATAGATTGACGAATCGTATGATTGGGCTTTATACGTGGCGTAGTTTTCCACATACGCCTATTTGCCTAAAATTTTATTTTGTATCTAATGGAAAAAAATTTTTTTTTCTTACTGATGTTATAGATTAGAGCAAAGTGAAATCATTGCTTAAATAATTGGAAAAAGGCGTAAGCGGCAGTTTCCCCCTTATAGGAGCCATCGACATGACGCGACCAGTTTGAAACTTTCAGTTTCAGTTTCATTCATCAGAATCATCACAAAGTTGCAGTCTCGTTGCAGTTGCGTTTCACCGTCTGTTCTGGGCCTAACGGGCTGTTGTTGATGATGATGATATTACAAATTATGTTAACACACTTACAAGGGAAGCAGACATCGCCAGGATAGTAGAAGAACGTCAGCTCCGCGTGTAGTAGTCCCGCGTCGCCCGGCAAAGTAGCTTTCTCGGCGCTCACTAGTGGTCGCGGCGCTTCCCGGGACTTGGACCCGGTCGAAACCTATAACGAAAACTATTTGTGACTTTTGACACTCGTGCATTGAAACTTATGATAAAAACGATTTGTGAGTTTTCACACTAGCGATTTTAAACTCATGCATGGAGGAAACGGCACATTGAAAGTAAAATTGTTGAGCAAGTTATTCGGGCCTAAGTACTGGATAAAAAACTTTCGACTTTGGATCATAGCTTTCAGCAATCACTCCAATATCAAATCGTTGTTTATACGCACTATTCCATAGATTCTTTGTGACAAATATGACGTAAATTTTTCGCCAACTAGATTCTAAAAATCTTATTGTACAGTCAATTTTATTGAAAACTGATGGGATTTATAGGGTAGTTTCAACTATTTCGCGAAATCTTCGAGATTTTCGAGAAAAATTGCCATGTCTGAGGGTTGAATAAAAAGATCTAAATTAACGTCAACATTACGTTAATATTCATAACTTTTAAGTAACACATCCACACTAAAGATTACCTTATAAACAGTGAAGTCGTCTATCCTAAGTACGAGGCATGTGGTCATGAGCTTCCCCAGCTGTTGCAGAATCCTGGTCCTGGTTGGCGATGCTGCAATAAGACGTTAACATGTTATACAGGACGTTTCAGAATGATACAAAAGAGGAGGTTCTTTATTTATTTATTTATTTTTTATTTAAAACTTATATGCACATAGATTGTCTTTATTTTTATGTCCGCGGATTGTTCAGTAAATTATGTAGGGCACATGATGAAAAGCTATTATCACCTCCTCTTCCCCATATTGAAATTAGCGATACTATAGTGATCGACGCGCAGTCTGGTATTTTTCAGCGAGTCGTACGTTTTGAGAGCTGAAGTGACAACGCACTTAAATCCTGGCCTACGGTCTTGGATCAAGCCCTAACAACAACAGAACCGTATACACCACTACATTTTTATCACCGAAAAAAAAAATTCTGGGTAATGAGTTATTGATACTAATCCTATTTATGCCAAAAAAAAGTTAAATAAAGTTACTCAAAATTTCATCCCAAAATTGGTAATTTATGGACACACGCGTCGCTAGCACTATTTACGTAAGCTAATGTAACACTTATTACAACTCAAAATTACTTGAAATGTTGCATTAAATGGTCTAAGTTAGCTAAGTAAGTAATAATAACACTGGAAGCGTGGTCGAGGCGTGAGCGAGACAGACAGATCGGGGCAATGTGGGAGCGCGTACGACTACTCTAGCGAGCAGTGGAGTGCCCCAGCTGAGACGCGTAAAATACAGACTAAAGAAAAAATTTACTTTATGAAAAAAAAAGTTTTTTTTTAACTTTAAATTTTTCACACATTTCTAGTTTCTCATAGTCGGCCGTTTGGTGTAGTGGTTCGAAACGGACTACTATTCCGGAGGTAGCGGGTTCGATTCCCGCACAGTACAAACATTAGTGTGTATGAACATATTTGTTTGTATTGGACTGGGTGTTTTCTATGTATAATAAGTATGTATTTACAAAAAAAAAGTATTTAAGTATGTTTATATCCGTTGTCTAGTACCCATAGTACAAGCTTTGCTTAGTTTGGGACTAGAAGCGCAGTGTAAAATGTCTAAGGATATTTATTTCTACATAACCTGTTAATTTTTTTTCGGTTTTTTTCGCTTTCGCTCCCAATCGATCCCGGGATCTTTGGGTCCGCGACAGGTGGTTTTACCACTAGCCCAGACATTTCTTCAAGTTCTTATAGGATCACGTACCTTGTGAGGAGATGTTAGTGGACGGAGCAGTAGAGCTTTGCTGGCTGGCGGTTTGACTCGGCCTGTGGTTGATCCCGTTCGACAGAGGTTCTTCTGACTTCTCAGCTTGACTCGCCTGTGGTCAAAGACATTAATTAGAAATGGGACTATTTCCACATCGAGTTCCCACCGCCGCAGCTCCTGTGTAGCCAGGATCTACAGCTTGACCGCCAATAAAAATCCAACCAGTGATGGTCAAGTTTGTTCCGGGAGAAAGTAGTCATTAGAATATAAATTACGATCATAAGGCCCGTTTCCACCAAAGCAGGGAGGAGCAGATACGAGAGGAGTTTGGATAACCAATCAGATTTTGGAACCTTAGCTGGGCAAAGAGGTGATGTGGATATAACCAGAATCTGATTGGTTAATCAAAAAATTTCTCCTCTTGTCTTTCCTCCTCTTCACTTTGGTGAAAACCGTACCTAAACATCAAACTAGTAATTTAGAAGCACAAACTGTGTAAAAAGTCAATAAATGTTTTCATATCAAAAATTCACGATTATGATACTGTTGCATTCGAATTCTTACCTTATTACTAGGAGTGAGCGGTCTAGGATCCAACGCGTCGAGCAGCGTCGTGCAGAACGAAGACAGGGCTTGCGACAGCCACTGACTGTGTGGTGTTGCTGCTTCCCTAAAATAAATAATACACAAAATTAAATACACTCGCGAGCAAAAGTATGGAATCAACTTTTGAGTAGTCTTTGTAGCTAAACGACTATGAAGATTAAATTATAAATGGTACCAGTTTAAAGGTTACTTTACAAACTTTAACTTGATACCATAGATGCATAGATAGTCATTGAGTTCTTCAGATCGTTGGGAACAAAACTCAAGAGGGTGATTCCATACTTTTGCTCGTAAGTATAGATAGAAATAAAGTGTAAATAAATAGATAAGAATATGATTAGTCATTGCATTTCTGTGAGTGCATATGTTTGTGTAGTTGTGACAGTTTAAATTACCGCTTTTTGGCAATCGGTCTGAGGCGCAAGTCCGTCGCGCATCATTCACACTACACCTCTTGTATTGGTGGCAGCGTGACGTGTTTAATTCTTAGTATTTTGTTTTTGTGTAAAATTTTTCTACACAATCATTTTTGCGAATTTTTAAAAATGTTTTGTCTAACTCTACTTTTGGCGATCGATCACTCACACAAATTCAAAGCTCAAGCCTTGCGAACTGTATAATATTTGTGCCTACTAGTTGGCAACATAAATAAGCTAGTGGCAAGATCTTACTCTAAGCTACATCTATCCCAATATGATAATGTCACCAGTTGGCGCCACTGTTTTGCCTACTAAAGCCCGGTCGCCGAGCACGTAGAATTTCGTCCAATGACCCCAAGCTACCCATCTTAATCGCTCGCGCGTAATTATGTTGCCGCGACTGTGAGTGTGCGAGCGCGACAGCGACATAATTACGCGCGAGCGATAAGGATGGGTAGCTTGGGGTCATTGGACGAAATTCTACGTGCTCGGCGACCGGACTATAGCAAGTGATAGGACCTTATTCTACAATGAAAGCGATTGTGGCGCCAGTCGCGCCTCACACTTACCGGTAGCCGCGCCAATGGCGTCGGTCGTCCGCCGCCTTGTGGTAGGGGAATAGATCCGCCTGCATGCTCACAAGCGTCACTTGTAAGGCACCTCCGTTCGCTAGCGATGGCTTTTCTGAACGCCCCACTGAAAATATAAACAATAGTAGTTATCGAAGCTGTTGTATAAGAAGTAGTATTATTTTAAAACGCAATCGCGTATAATAATACATGAGAAGTATGGTCGGTAATAGTTTTGGTAGACGTACCGTACATAAATACTTTTTGACTACTACTACAATCTTTACTGAACATTTGTGCGAGTATGTAGAAGATATTTATACGTATTTCCATAATACTTCCTAAATGAATACTAGAGGGTGTTTTTGTGTCGTCAAACGTTAGCAAGACTTCAGACTTGTATACTGTCACGTCATAACATCAGCCCTTCCGTGCCGCTTCCATATCCCAGGCACTGACACAGTTATGCCAAGTCCTGTAGTACAATATTACTTACAGCCAGGGTCATCACACAAGTGCAGGTCGATCCGCGGCGCGAGCAGATGGTACGAAGTCTCACGCACGTCGTGTTTGGCGAACATTCGCGCGAGTATGTCACGGTCGCCACTCGGCGGTCGGCTTTGGATTTGCTCCCGGGGCTCTTCGATCTGAAAAGTGGAGATTAATGGATTTAAAACATAGTTTGGGGAGACCTGCTGTTCGCATATAAAAAATAATAAAGAAAAATAAAATAAAATATATTATCCACTTTTTACGCCTACTACAACATCCACAGAAAGAGTGGGGTCCTATTTTACTCTGCTAGAACCAAACGGTACAGGACATGTACCCTGAAAAGAACCTTTCTACTAAGAGCAGTTTCGCACTGGTATTCGAATCTGTACAAAATACGGTGCGAAGAACTATTTGTGTTAGTTTACGTTACGCACGATATCCAATAATCAGACACCTCTAGTTAATTTCTAAATCCGTATTTTTGACGGATATGTTTGCAGACGAAGATTTCCTGAGTGCCTTAGCGTGCGTGGCAACGGCTTTCCTGACCGTCTCAGTGTGGCGTGCAACTGTCCATCCGTCAATGGCATAGGCCGGATCGCCAGACGGAGCCAACCACAGTCATTATCTACATACCTTCCTGAGAGCCTTGGCGCGAGTAGCAGCGGCTGTGGCTCTTCTAACAGGCTCAGGCAGAGCCGGCCGTTTGTTAGCGATCAGCTAGCGGCTACAGCTGGATCGCAAGCCGGAGCCAAGTACAGTTATCACCTACATATCTTCCTTGAGAGCCTGGCCACGTGTGGCAGCGGCTGTGGCTCTCCTGATCGGCTCAGCCAGCGTTGGCCGTTTGTTAGCGCCCACGCTAGCGGCTCCGGCCGGATCGCCAGTCGGAGCCAACTACAGTCACATCATCTACATACCTTCCTGAGAGCCTTGGCACGCGTAGCAGCGGCTGTCGCTCTTCTAACAGGCTCAGCCAGCGCCGCTGACGTTCAGAAGTCGTCCCATTGAACAACAGTTCTAAATCCGTATTCACAAGGGCCATTTTCGATAGAACGATTACTCGATAGGATCGCAACTCAGTGTTTTGTTGTCGTTGAAGTTTTGTAACGTGAATAAGGCTACAGTGCGGAACGCAGCCGTCAGTTAGCGCCCACGCTAGCGGCTCCGGCCGGACTACCAGCCGGAGCCAAACACAGACATCGCCTACCGACCACAGTCATCTCATACATACCAGAGTAATTGCAAATGAGTAGGTCATCTTCATAGAAACGCCCGAGCGCGGATTGTATGTGAGCGCGTCAATACGTATGTGGCGCGCACGCACACACTGACCAAATTTAGCGTTGATTAGCGGTGAGTTGCCCCGAATTTTGTCAGTGTGTACGTGCGCACCGCATACGTATTGGCGCGCTCACATACAAACCGCGCTCGGTGCGTTTCTATGAAGATGACCTACTCATTTGTATTTACTCTGTACATACCTTCCTTAGAGCCTTGGCTCGCGTGGCAGCGGCTGTGGCTCTTCTAACAGGCTCAGCCAAGGCCGCGGCGCAAGCTAATGCGGCGCGTAGCTGTCCGTCCGTTAGCGCCCACGCTAGTTATCATCATCTATAGTCTGGTCTGTGAGCACGTAGAATTTTGTCCAATGACCCCAAGCTACCCATCCTTATCGCTCGCGCGTAATTATATTGCTGTCGCGACTGTGCGACGGGCGCTCACAGTGAATGTGCGAGCGCGACAGCAACATAATTACGCGCGAGCGATAAAGCTGGGTAGCTTGGGGTCATTGGACAAAATTCTACGTGCTCACAGACCGGGCTTTACATACCTTCCTGAGAGCCTTAGCGCGTGTAGCAGCGGCGGTGGCTCTCCTGACAGGCTCAGCCAGCGCCGCGGCGCAAGCTAGTGCGGCGCGCAACTGTCCGTCTGTTAACGCCCACGCTAAACGCCACGCTAACAAACACAGACATCGCCTACCGACCACAGTCATCTCATACATACCAGAGTAATTACAAATGAGTAGGTCATCTTCATAGAAACGCCCGAGCGCGGTTTGTATGTGACCGCATCAATACGTATGCGGCGCGCACGCACACACTGACAAAATTTAGCGTTGATTAGCGGTGAGTTGCCCCGAATTTTGTATTTACTCTATACATACCTTCCTGAGAGCCTTGGCGCGCGTGGCAGCGGCTGTGGCTCTTCTAACAGGCTCAGCCAAGGCTGCGGCGCAAGCTAATGCGGCGCGTAGCTGGCCGTCTGTCAGCGCCCACGCTAGCACGCAAACACAGACATCGCCTACCGACCACAGTCATCTCATACATACCAGAGTAATAGACAGTTTGACACCATACCCCAATAATTCGAAACCACAACTGTTAAAAAGACTTCATTCTGGTCTTAAAAATCTAATTTATTTTAAATTACCTGTAAATTTCGATTTTTGTTCGAATTGTAATTGAAAAAAGTAGTTTAATTGGGTTGACAAAATAGTGACGTCACTTGCTTGTAGTGCCATACAAAATCTATGGGAGAGTTTCGTTTTGACAGTTTTAAAAAGTACGTCAATTGACTGTGGTGTCAACATGTCTATTACAAATGAGTAGGTCATTTTCATAGAAACGCCCGAGCGCGGTTTGTATGTGAGCGCGTCAATACGTATGCGGCGCGCACGCACACACTGAGCAAATTTAGCGTTGATTAGTGGTGAGTTGCCCCCAATTTTGTCAGAGTGTGCGTGCGCGCCGCATACGTATTGGCGCGCTCACATACAAACCGGGCTCGGTGCATTTCTATGAAGATGACCTACTCATTTGTATTTACTCTGTACATACCTTCCTTAGAGCCTTGGCTCGCGTGGCAGCGGCTGTGGCTCTTCTAACAGGCTCAGCCAAGGCCGCGGCGCAAGCTAATGCGGCGCGTAGCTGTCCGTCCGTTAGCGCCCAAGCTAGTTGTCATCATCTATAGTCTGGTCTGTGAGCACGTAGAATTTTGTCCAATAACCCCAAGCTACCCATCCTTATCGCTCGCGCGTAATTATATTGCTGTCGCGACTGTGCGACAGGCGCTCACAGTGAATGTGCGAGCGCGACAGCAACATAATTACGCGCGAGCGATAAAGATGGGTAGCTTGGGGTCATTGGACAAAATTCTACGTGCTCACAGACCGGGCTTTACATACCTTCCTGAGAGCCTTGGCGCGAGTAGCAGCGGCTGTGGCTCTTCTAACAGGCTCAGCCAAGGCCGCGGCGCAAGCTAATGCGGCGCGTAGCTGGCCATCTGTTAGCGCCCACGCTAGCGGCTCCGGACGGATTGCCAGCCGGGAGCCAATTACGGCGCAGTCTGGTGAGAATTAGATGAGTTGTTCGACGTTTGTTTGCTAAAAGTTAGGTAGTCTTAAAGCCTAGTAAGTTCCATCGTTTCAATCAAAAGACATCCACTACTGGACAAAAGCCTCCCCCAAGGAATCTCACATCGCTCAATCACACTAAGGAATGTAAGTAAATTGTAATAAATAGGTTAGCCTCCAAGACTTCAAAGGACACTCCACAGTTTAGGTACGTTCAGTTACTATACCTCTCGGGAGGCGGATACCGCTGTAGGATAATTAAATTCTTTGACTGTACATGATATACTCAGAACCCTACTATGGTTTTAATAGCTAAAGTAGCTTGTTATTTTGAATTCAGAATTTTACATTTTGGAAGTAGATCACAATAACTTTACGATTACACGTTAATGTAAATTGAGCTTTAAATATTTACCTGAAAGTCGTTTTTTGATGACGATGCGGCAGTGCGTGTTGCCTAGCAGCAGTCTCAGGGGCGGCAAGTTGGCCGCGGCTGCGCCGTGCGCCTTGGCTTCTATGCGCGCGCTCTGCCATTCTAGCTCCTATAGATATATGAATAAGATTGGTTATTGATTGATGTCTTTGTGATCTAGTAGATTTTAGCATTTTCAATTTCCACATAGGACTCTCAAATTAAATCTTCACACAAATTAAAATTAAAAATCATTTTAGAACAGCCAGGAACAAAATTGCTACTGGTTTGGTTAAGACATGCATGGACCCTATTTGGTCCAAAAACCAGTATGGAAATAGGGGCTTCAGGGATAATGTTTTGGTGCAATTTATAGGTGTAAAAGCGGTTTATAAAAGTCTAAATGCAGAAAATAAGTAACTTATCACTCTTTGTGATTTTTAATTGATCCATGTTATATGCCGGCTCTAACTGACACCATGGTTATATTACAATCCACACTAGAAAAAGACAATGTTCGCTGTTTTTCTAAACGAGGTAAACAGATTATATTAGCTAATACAGGAAAAACGAATGTAATTTAAGGATGACATCGCGAAAGGTAAACAATGGTAGGAAAACCTGAGTATTGTCCAAGTAAACCCTATCATCATTATCCAATTCGATTGGTGTAATCGCTTATCGCATATATCCTATAGTGAAATTGTTACAGCGGTGAGAACGACAAGTAGGAATAGTCCAGTTGTCCATAAGTTCACGCGCACCGTTAGCGAAAACAGGGGGGGTACTACTCCCCTGAAGCCAGTCGTCGCTTGCTCAAACGGAGCGAGCCACAGTCTAGGGCGGAGCCACGAAATAATGTCTAATGCCCGTTTCACCATCAATCCCTAATTTTTAAGTGAACCCTATGGTAACACTTAACAGGAATTTTGTTTGGAAGGGGTCACTTAAAATTAGGTATTGATGGTGAAAACGGGCATAAGCCGTCTAGCTCGGATAATAACTCACAGCTCCGTCCCAAAGACTTTGGGAGGACACTGTCAGGTTTTACTGAGTAGCAGTAGAGTGGACTGTCGTCTGCGGTGTTTCCGGACGGATACGACCTGCAAGCTTTCAAGAGGAGAGCGTATCTTTACCTTAAAGGCCGGCAACGCACCTGTAACGCCCCTGGGTCTGCGGGTGTCTATGGGCGACGGTAATCACTTACCATCAGGTGATCCGTCTGCTCGTTTGCCTCCTGTCACATAAAAAAAAAGCCCCTGCTCATCTGGCAGGGAGAGCCTCACATAACCGACTGGTTTCTATCCCAGTGGGTATGCAATGTCATGCATTTCCTGACGAAAAAAGTTACCTTAAATATAAGCAGTTGTCCAGTGTCGGGCGATTTGATCCTAGTCAGTCTTAGGTCTCCCTTCCGGCCCTCGGGCGTCCGGGACTCAACGGTCACTCTTGAGATCTGAAACGAGACTCAAGTTAAATTCACATTCATAAACATTTGCAGTGAAATGGCTATAGAGCACATCTATCTCAAAACAATGTCGAACTCGTTCTATGTTCTTTGATGAATATCAATGTGGGTCAAATTTCCAAACCGAAAATGAGTGGTAAGGTAATGTGGAAATAACGAAATTTGATTGGTTATTCAAACAAAACACATCTTCTCTCGTCTCTTTTTTTCATTTTCCTTTTGATGCAAACCGGGTCTTACTTTGCCCCAGGACAAACTTGGCCTTCACTGATTGGGTTATTGGCGGCCAAGCTGTAGATCCTGGCTAAATAGGACATGAAGTTATGTGATGCTGTGATCTCAGTTAGAAAAAGAATATAACATTTGAACATTTAATTATATGAATACACTGTACCTGAACACTACTGGTGAACGCATCACAATTGAAGTCTATTTGCACTTGATTCACAGCCACCGAGATTCCGTCTATGACCTGAAACATATTTTGATAAGTAAGAAAGTGCAATGCCCAAACGTAATTAGTAACAAGTAACAATGCAATGTACAATTTTTGCGACAAAGTGGTGCTTCCAAAGATAATTTTAAGAGGCAAGGCGGCGATTCTCGCTGCAATACAAGCGCTGCGAGTCAAGCAACGGAGACAAGAGACTCGAGACCGCCACCGTTACAAGACACTTGACTTCTAGGTCTCTTTCGTCTGTCTCGGTCTTGATGACGAACTGATGCTTAAGCATTGCTTAAAGTTAAGTGACTGTCACGGTCTCCTGTCTCTGTCGCAGTTAGAATCGTCACCTTTACATATATCTTGATGAATGAGCCTACCTTGTGTATGTAGCTGTATTTGCCCGGAGCGGGCATAGATCCCGTGGCGGTGGGGTTTACGACCCTCGGCTCCTGGCACACTTCTAGTGCTATGTGTACCTCGTCTAAATTCTAGAAAAAGAAGAGAGGAAAGATTAAATAAATTTACTTCATGATATTTGTATCTTATGTAAATTCCTTCCAGAGGAACTAAGAAAAGTGAGCATTTTCATGCCATGTCGATTTTATATTTCTTGGTCTGTTTTGTGTGATGAGCAAAAGAGTACGAGTATCTATCTGTCTTCTATATTTTATGTGAGTTTAAATCTTTTGCTAGAGTCCCCAGACGAAAAGTCATTGTCTGGTAATTACATAATACGAGTACAAGGATGCAACTCTTTATTTGGCCAAGACAATTGTTGTATTGTCCAGCGCATAAAAACTACTCATTTCATTAGTTCAATGTCTCTGTAAAATTTTGGAGAAGGACAAACATTATTTTCGTCGCAAAAACATTTAAACTAGTCTGCCAGAAAGTCTAGTAATAAATCGAATCTATGCCGACTGTCATTAAGTTGCATCTAAGGTGCTTAAATACTTGTTTAATATTGTAGTACATATTGTTAAAACGTAAACATTTACATGTCTATCTATTCGTAGATAACAAAGTACATGTGCACCTCCTTTGTTATTGCTTAAAACCAGTCTTTACCTATTTAAGATTAATCGCAGAGCTGTGTTGTATTAATGATTGAACGCTGCACTCAACATTCAAGGTTAAAAGCAAATTATTAGCCAAACAAATAGGATGGTAGTTTAGTAAGATCAAGGCCAGACATGCAAGCCGAACTCGGTGCCACAGTAAAAAATGCGCATAGTAAACTTATTCTAATAATGATAATAGTTTATTTGCATAAGACATGGTATAAAGGTGTTACATAAACATTGCATTGTGATAGTGAGCACATATTTTGCCAATATTTATAGCTAATTAATAATTTAACAGTTTTTGAATTGAACGTTACTACAATTGGAAGTATCTGTTTCTCTCACTTAACAGGAGCGCCATCAATAGAGAGTAGCTCCGCAGAGGTTTAAGTTTAATCGATAGAAAACATAAAGCGGACCAGACAGTGTCGTGGTTGGATTGAAGGAATGACAGTTAGTATCGGCGCAAATGGGCCACCGAACCACAGCCACCGGTGGCCAGCGACGGCGACTTAACACATTTTTTTACATATTTTGTATAGACGCGCCACACACGTGTATCCGGTGGCAGCCACTCGCTACAGTAGTGTCCGCATATTAAGTGTGTTAAGTCGCTGGCCACAGGTGGCTGTGGTCGGTGACCCATTTGCGCTGAGGCTTAGAGTGCGACAGGGCTATTTTTATATGAGGAGATTAAGAATGCCATTACCGAAGGAAGGAATGTAACTGATAGCTTGCCAACGACAATAACATTGTAAGTGTGTATGACCTTTGGAAATAAGTATCTTAGTTACTAATCTTATTAAGTGTGTCCAGAATTTAAGCTTATGTTGACTTTGAAATCGAATTAAATACGTGACACGTACAAAAGGCAATTATTGAAACACAACTCTTAACCATCTTGACACAAGTCTAGCAGATAAGACGTTGAATTTAAATGCGTTCGCGACTCGCTTGCACCTAAATTAAGATTCATTATCAAAGTATATTCACGTGTAACACTTCATGGTCTACCATAATACATGTTTTGGTTGGATGAATGAGGCACTTCTCATGTAATGTCGCTATATTACTGAGTACTCTTTCCTATACTGTGGTAAAGAGCATTCGACCGTGACTAGGACAAGACTTGCGTTCCAAACAGCTGCTAGGTTTTTAGGTGGCACACAACCTAGCCATGATAACATTGTTACATTCCTGGGGTATTGTCCAAGTTCCTATGATTTGCTCTATGTGCAAATAGTCGGTAATTTGTGTACTTTTCGTGATAAAGCACGATTATTTTCAGTTAAAACTGGATGTAAGATTGCTGTAAGAATCAACTAAGGCTGAAACCTTGAAAACAGATGTTTACATTGATATTACTAAGTTGTATGTTTAGGGCAAATAATGGGTATGATCCACAGATGATCTGTGGTATGATGAATACTGACCAGAAAGAGCTGTAGAAATATTTAGACGAATGTTAATCCAATCATAAGAAAAAATGGGTTGATAAGACTGTTTAAAGTACAGTATTTTTTATAATATACTTTAAAAATAGTATAGATACAATATTTAGTTACATAAGCAGTAATAATGCATTATTTTATTGCACTCATTATCACTCTCAGTATACCTATAGCAACTGTCTTATTGAGGATAATAAACACAATAAATAGAAGATAAGGACTTGTCAGTTTTTATGGCCAGTTCTGGGAAAAAAACTATAGACGATTGGCCTAACTATTGGTACTGTACATATTATTATAGTTGTGGACGAGTGTCGTGCGTCAATCACTAATCCGGAGTTATGTGTGACCAATTCCGACGGTTTCGTCAAACATCTTGTTACGACCTTTTTACTATCAAATTACTCCAATTTAGATTTTGAATGCTGTTAGTAGCCTTTTCTTAAAAAAACCTAGATGTGTGAGACAAAATAGATGAACCAAACTCATATCTTTCCTTGAAAGAAAAAATCATACAAAACAAACTGTGAACACTGAACACATAACAATGAAAAACAATTATGTACCTTATTTGTTTAAAGTTATTTATACCGTGATAAGATTATTTCAGTTCAATGAGCATGCAGGCCATTTTCAATGCTAAATATTGAACAAATCAATAGTCTACTAACATAAGCCCAAAAGCGTTGGACGAAGACAAAATTAGCAATTCATAAATATGTTAATCAAAATGTTCAACTGACAGAACTGTTTTAGATGAGAAAATTTTGTGAATATTCAGTTTTCATTACATTCGTGAACAAATATAAATATTCATACTGCTCTTAATGTCAAATCTGTATATAATTTAACTTTGTTTGCTTACTTAATTTTTGTTTTACAGGCAAGGGAGACAATTGATACTAGTCATTGTATGTAATGGTACATCCTAACATATTAAACACCTCACTACATTGGAAAATTAAAAGACTAAAACGAGTGAGTCTCTGTTTTAAAATAAGGATAAAAACTATTCTGTTTTTCCTTATGTATCATCCTATCAGTCTACTAAATTTCTTTTAAACTGGTTCAGCAAGTGCAAGTTAACAGATAAATAGACAAACTTGCATTATTTTGCTCTGCAAATCGAGACACAAAAGAGAATCAATTGGTACGAAGTCTTAAGTCACCGCTTAGGATTTGATGGGTTAATAAAGTGAAATAACATTCAGAAAATAAACAAAACTTACCAGCACTATAGGAACAGTCTTCAGTTTGGTCCACTGTATCCTGAACGTAGCCCGGTTGCACCGGGCCGAGGTGAGTCGCACCCATCCTGGCAGCTCGAGCAGGTCCGTCAGCAGGTCCTCATCAAGAGTCAAGTCGTGGAGCTCTCCGGAACCGCGTAGAGCGGACAGAGATATTTGTTCCGGATTTAGGTTTTTTGTAAACCTGTAAATTCAGGATTTAATGGTATAAAATTGGATTATTCGCAAGGATATTTTAAGGCTATTAACACAAATTCGGTGGTTGGAATTAAGCTCTTAATTAGCACTTTGAGCTACATAAAAACATTTAATAAATCATTGAATAAATCTTCATTTTTGTTGTACAGGCTCGGCTTTAAAGCGCCCTTTCTGATAACGTCGTAGGCAATCAGTACCTAATATAGGAGAGAGTATAAGTAATTCAGGCCATATCAAATGTTTATCAAATTATTTGCATGCCATTGATCACAATACATTGTATGAATCCAGCACAAAGAAAATACTAAGCACTGCGTCAAAGTTTAGGGATATTCAAGATAGTCAAACTAAGTTCTCGTAAATAAGAAAATACATAGTACTATCAGCACTAAATCCAATTAATTCAATTAGATAAAATTATACGAAAAGACATCGATAAGTAAAGTCATGGGCGTATTAAACATACCTTGATAAATGTTTCAGCAACTGGTTCTTTATTATAGTAACCATTTTAAACTGTTAATTTGTTGTCTAGCTATTTAATACGAGTAACTTTATAACAAAAATCATTATCGAAACACGAAATTCCCCGAGGTTTTTCTTTTTGTGAATGAAATCAGAACTGAACTCGAATGAATGAATGAATGACTGCTAAATGTCAAAACAACAATCGACCGCGTTCTGTCAGTGTCAGGCAGAAGGTCATCCGGTCAGAGATCCCTTAGTTTTAAGTTAAATTAATTTCAATCATTAGACCGTAATCAATACATTGGAGGTGAAGAATAATAATTTAGGCTTAATTTAATTATTTGGAGAATAGCTACTTCAAAGAAGATGTGGCACTTGTTTTTGTGCTGCGTAAAATGGATAACACTTCATGGAAACGGAACGCAAACTTAGCAACCAAAAGGCGCGTTATTTGTTTGCGTATCTCCATGTAGATTTATTGATTTTGTAATAAATGTTTACTACGATTTTACAATAACTTTTACACCGTTTTAGTTTATTATTTTGTGCTTAATAATTGAAACTTGATACTGGATTGCAACTGGCCGTGTACAATATCGGAGCCTGCAGGAGGTTTGCTAGAAATTAAAAGTAAATTTCAAGTTTGACAAACCAAGTCATTGTTGTGGAAATATTTTGAAACATTTCTACTGGTGTTTTATATCGTTTAATCAATTTATATTAATTTTCAGTCATCAATATTAATAATAAAACGTTTTATTACGATCGGCTGGTACATTGAGCCCTAAAATATACCCTGTTGACGTAGAGGTAACAAAATGCCAAGATAACGCAATAGATTAGTTAAAATGTATTTATTTATTTATGTAGTTAGTAAAACGTAAAATAATAATAGAAAAAATGAACTATAATGATAATTTAAATCAATATCACTATACTTTTGACCCATCTCTCGCCTAGCAATGATTACCATTACTATTTACTTACTTGTACAGCGTTTCATAAAGTTGATTGATTGCCACAAGGGTAAATGTAATGTAGTAACTACTTACCTCCCTGCCTAACTTATTCACACATTTTATCCGTTTAATCCGCGTACTTATTATCGCATAAACTTATCCAGGCAATAAGCACACCCCAAATACCATCGCAGTAAAGTTTATTTTAATTTTTTTAGCGGTACACAGTATTTGCACGCTTGACCGCACAATGTCACACAGAGACAGCAAGGTAGAGGGCAGTTACATCGACGCGGATTTCTCCTCCGGCGATTCTAACCGACCGAAAACCAAACAGCTGTACCAGGAGGAAAACAATAACGAAGTCAATGAGCTGTCCAAGGAATTGTCGGAGATGGGTTGTATTGTCGACGCGATGAAACGGCCCCCTAACATCTGCGTGGAGACATGCGTCTATGACTCGGAGACTGAGGAAGAAAAGAGCAAGTCTATCGAGGAAGAAGAGGATGGATATTCTGACGAGTTTGAGGAGGACAAAAGCGAGGAGGAAGAGGAGTCGATCAAAACGCAGCCCAAATCCGCCAGTGATATCAGCAAGAGCCAGACTGTTCCGTCTTCCATGAAATTGTCTAAAAGTCAGTCTTCTATGTCACATAGGCCTCCAGGCTCGGTTACAGGGCGATCTACGACTGATTATGGGTAAGTTGAAGTTAGAACATGACATGTTCAATGTTCAGTGTCTGAAGGGTAAAGTCCAAGGTGCGTCTGTTTTTCCTAATTTAAAATACCTCTCCGGAATAAGATCACGATCAGCAGGACAATTGTCTTTTTACGTTTAGTGTCATAGACGCCTCCTTTTAGCCTAGGCGACCACCCACTTTTAGTTGGCCGATAGTTGGGTCAGGCTGTTAATCAGTATGGAGATGTATGAAAGTGCGTACATTACACCGATTTGGTATCGGCCGATTCTTCATTCAAAATCGGGCCCAACTATCGGCCGACTAAAAGTCGGTGGTCTGCGCCTAGGCTTACTCTAGATCCCAACGGTAAAGATATAGAAACTGTTCAAGCTACTTATCTACCTACTTGACAAGACTAAAACATCTGTCTTCACTTCTTCAGGTCAATATCAGTCCCGCCAACACGCAGAATCAACATGTCTTTCACCAACGAAAGGTTGCGCGAGATCGAGAGGCACAACCACATCCTGCTGACCAAGATCCTCAGCGCGAGGAACAGCAGGAAGTCTTCCATCCCCCCACGGGAGCAGGCGGCGAGGAAGCCAGTACCTTCAGCTGCGGTGTCGAGAAAGAACCAGCAGCGGCAGATCGATCGCGACAACATGGTGAGGACTTGCAGCCAAAATATTGACCATTGAGTTGTGGTACAGTTAATGAAGTCTTCCATCCTCGTCGTAATCAAGTCTTCCATCCCCCCACGGGAGCAGGCGGCGAGGAAGCCAGTTCCTTCAGCTGCGGTGTCTAGAAAGAACCAGCATCGGCAGATCGACCGCGACAACATGGTGAGGACTTGCAAAACAAATGACGACAGTTATATCATACTATGTAGACTAAGTCTTCTATCCTCCCACGGGAGCAGGCAGCGAGGAAGCCAGTACCTTCAGCTGCGGTGTCGAGAAAGAACCAGCAGCGGCAGATCGATCGCCACAACATGGTGAGAACTTGCAAAACAAATGACGACAGTTATCATACTATGTAGACTAAGTCTTCCATCCCCCCATGGGAGCAGGCGACGAGAAAGCCAGTACCTTCAGCAGCGGTGTCGAGAAAGAACCAGCAGCGGCAGATCGTNGACACCGAGCCCACAGCGTGGTAGGGGTGGGGTTGCCCGCTCTTTTGTTTTTTAATACTACTACGCTGAATATTGTGTGCGGATTGGGTTGTCGTACAGGGGTACTACATGGTAAAATAAATCTCGGAGGCGAAAGCAGGATAATGGCCATCATCAGACATGCCAATGACACCAAAAAACAGATCAGGCTAATCCAACAAAGAACATAAAAATGTTTACCATCTATTTTTTGCTCACGATCTGACGCAAAAAACCCGAACGGAAAACAACGGGGAGTCGCAACAAAAAATTCCCTACAACCGCGAAAATGTCCGCCGCAATGTATTCCGCCCCACTAGTTATATTCTGATAAATGATTGCTGTGATAAACTGTTCGTGAAAAGCCTTTGTTTTTGCCTCCCGACTCCAGTTGTGGGAATATGCATGCGTTGTGCTGGTGACAATTTGATTTGTCGGTTCTTAGCTGATACATTAACATGTTTTTGCTACGCATCGAATGTACAGGGAGCACACCAAACTACTTTATTGACAAAGAACAACATTTTTACCCTGTAAGTACATTTAGGCTGGGTTGCACCATTACTTTAACTTTGACAGACGTTAAAAGTCCGTCAAACTCCATTCAAAACATTATAATGGTATACCGGTTAAGGTTATAGTCACGGTTAAAATAAGCTGGTGCAACTCAGCCTTAGAAGTTACCTATGGCAAAAACTTTTGCAACGAGTAAGTATTCGTATAACGCTCCTGTTTTTTTTTTGTGATAGATTATTGAGAAGAAAACTATCTTGTAACTTAGATATTTCTACGCTTCTACGCTTATAATATACATGCACACATCACAGCTAAGTTCATAGTCATAAAAATGCATTAAACTTCATACCCACTATTAGCCATGGCAGCTATTGTGATATGTAAGACTCCCCCTGCCAGAAGGGCAGATTCCCTGAAAATCTGACGGCTCCCTCAGTGAGTGATATGAGTTGGGGGAAAGAAGGATAGGAATTCAAACCTGCAAGTGATGTAAAGCCTACGTAAGCCCCAGAACAAATAAATGACGATATAAGGTATGCTACTGTAAGGTGTATCAACTAGAGCATAATGTTACTAAGGCTGGGTTGCACCATCTTACTTTAACTTTGACAAACGTCAAAAATCTGTCAAACTCCATACAAAATCACCGGTTATCGTTATAGTTACGGTCAAAGTTAGGTGGTGCAACTCAGCCTAAAAGTTGTGAATTTTACAGATATTGGCACGGGTACATAGTGTGGTTAGGTAGTTGTGCCGTCGTCACAAAGCAGAAATTTTAAGCTAAGTAATGTTATCTTATTAATATCTAATTAAGGATTTCCTTAAAGTAACTTCTGATACTATTAAAATTAGTCTCTTTTTATTTCCCATTTATTGTCCCGAAGCAGTGGTAGGGTTAATATTGGGACGTGTAAAAGTGCTTTAAATAAATGAGTTTTAGAGTTTCCAAAGGAAAGAAATAGATATGTTGACTTTTAGTTACATCGACATTAAAAGCAATATAATTTCATTGCAAGCATTTTCTCGATACATTTCTATAAAGTAATAGAACTCCAATAAAACCACACGGTTGTAGTACCTAAGTGGTAACAGAACTTTTGTTCAGAGTAAGCTTTAAATCTAGTATCGTATTTAAAATAAATTCTGAGTCTTTTCGCAGTATAACTGTCGGAATTTATTGCTTTAGGAACATTAAAGATTAAAAGTAAGAGAATCTACAGGTCTTCTAGTGATGTGAACGAATACTCGATTGAGAATTTTCTGAAGAATCCATTTAAAAAAAAAAAAGGTAAACAAAATTTTAATCTGAATACAAGAGCTTCCGTAAGTTTATTGCACGTTTACCTAAGTAGGTAAAGATAATATCAAAATCAAAGTAAGCAGGTATGATTTTTTGGCAAGACTCAATCATGGATCAATTTTGTATGATAATTAATGAATTTTTCACGCGTATGGTGCCTCAAACACCATGGAAATGTATTAACAACAACCAATAATTTTCAGTTTGAATTATTAAGTTTAATTGTTAGGCATTTAAAAATCACGTCAATTGTATATTATCGTCCCATCGACGACACGACGTTGCGGGTTTTATACGACAAGCGATAATATTGTGTTCTCATTTTGGATTATGTTTAATCGATAGGCATTTAAAAATCTTATCGATCTTTAGTGTCCCATCCCTAGCCACGACGTTGCGGGTTTTATTTCGCGGAGTATTGTCCGCTTATCAGCGGTTTTAAATTGTTGACGGTGGACGGTAGATTTATCACAACGAACGTTTTGTTTTATTGTTTTGCACGTCTATCTAACGTTTAATGATAGATCGCCCGGAGTCCTGCCAGCAGGACTTAAAGTACTTCCGGTAGGACGCAAAATTAAAAGATCACAGTTTCGTAAGTATACATTGTACAAATTTCAAATTTACACGAAAAAATAGAGTGTTTCTCTCTCTTTCACCCAATAGTGCCCAAGATCGAAAAACGCGACTAACCGTTAGTCGGAGCCCGATGGCGCACGAGTATACACGGGGGCAGCGCGTTCGCGCTCGCGCGACACATTTTGACGCGCCGGGCGTGGAGTCGGCAACATTTTGGCGATAATATTATAATGAATGTGAAGTATTCCAGCCTAATCAAACATTTATAATTTATTTCTTGTTTTTGTTTTTAATTTGTAGTGTATTTGTAAGTGATAGGTGTAATTTCTAATACAAAGTGACGTACCAAAGTAATTAATTTAAAGTTCCTTATTATAGTTCCTATTAGTTAAGTTGAAAGAAGATAAACAAGTTTATAATATATTAAGAAAAGTAAAATACTGGTTAAACAAAATGATTCTACGACATGACTTTTTATTTAATAAACACTAACCAAGTGTTTACTACTTCTGGTGAGGATGAGTTCAAATTTGAAGGTCACCGTACTGCTGGAAGGACCAGCAAGCAAACACGTACAAATTGCGTACTGCGGGCAGGACTTGCGATAATCTTCTGGCAGGACGTTTAGAACAAAAGACCAGTCCTTCCAGAAGAGCCTTCCAGCAGGACAAAGCACCGGGCGATCTATCATTAAACACATTGTTTGGTTTCAAATGTTTTTTGGATTTCAATTCTTTTGGGATGTTCTTGATTAGGGACCGATTTATCGATCGTTTCAATTTTTATCGCAAGAAAAAGTTTTACAAACTGATACCGCCTCAGGCAGATAGGTAGGTCAATGTCATTAGACCGTAGTATTAAATCTAATATCACAGAAAAATTCATTATTTTTCGTAGTATACTATGTTGATTTCTTAATTATATTAATGCTTACGTCGATTTTTCTCTTAATCGTCAAATTATGCGTTAAAAATATTTTAAATCAACATACCTCGTTACATCATCATTTATTACATACTCATTATCATACTCACCTCGTTACATACTCATTATCACGTCTTTGTGTCACATAATATTTGAGATTTGCGTCGAATCTCGAAAGTAAAAAAAAAACATTTCCCGAAACATAAAGTCAACGACAAGCCACAATCAATCAATCAAGCAAAATGCTTAAAACAGTGGCATTATCCCTAAACGCTACATCCAACGATCAACATTGACTCAACGAATAATTCTAGCAAAGTTGATTCGCGTCCAAACTCAGCCGTTCACTTCATCTGCTTACTTAGTAAAGTATGCAAACGCAGCGGAACTCTGTCTACTACTTACTCACGAGTCTTGCGACATTACTCGAACTTGTTTCACGCTTTTTCCAATGCAGAAAAGGGAGGAAATTTAATTTGCGAAGCGTTCCGAAGCGCACGAAGTTGACCGGTTGCGTAGTTCGCAACTGTTGTTCGACATAGTTGTAGAGTCTATTAGAAATACGTACGTGTTAACAGTTCACTCGTGAGTCCAAGTGGTGGGTGAAGGGTGTGTAACTTTGTATATTGGCTTCCAGTTTTTGGGAGGCTTTTTGTAGAAAGTAAGAAGTTAAGTTTGTTGAGGCGATGCGGAAAATGCAGATTGGAAGGAATTGTTTGGAAAAGCATTAGGTACTTTAAATTAGCCATTAATGGAAGACACTAAGGTTGAGTTGCACTATCTTACTTTAACAAACGTCAAAAATCTGTCAAAATTTTTCGGCAGTTATTTGACCACAATCGTACCTGATGTTACCAGTCTAGGATGGTTCATATCTGCCCTGTAAGTGCCTATTCACCCTCGCCTTGAAAAAGCCCGGATTATAGTCTTCGGGAAAAACTCAATACAAAAAACACCGGTTATTGTTATAGTCACGGTTAGGAAGTAGGTGCAACTCAGTCTAAGTTATGTCGTGACTAAGAAATATACATATTAAAACGAAAACAACTATTTGTCAAATAAAATTATACATTCAGCTTTCGAATGATGAGGCAATACATTGATACTTTATGTTTATCGCAAGACGTATCGGTCCTTTCTCGTAAAAGATTTTGAATACCAATTCCGATATAGTGATCATCATACTCGTATACAATATAATTTTAATGCTAACCATTGCACGACTCCGTTCACCATAAAACTCCATGGTCTTATAAATTTAAAACATTGTTCCTCACACAATTCCCACACATTTCCCTACACTAGAGTGGGAA